ATGATAATCAAGAAAATGACGAAATTCAGTCTCCGGATGAACATTCGCATTTTTTTTGAATGAATGTCACTTGCCATCATCATCATCAACAGCAACGTAGAACTTTGCACATCAGTACAGTAGTCCAAGTGGCCATACCACATTAGCGCAGAGATATAATTGTCAATTAAAATTACATAGTAGTAGAGGTAGTAAAATTATTAGAAGTAATCGGAGAGATTTGAGTTTGAAGATGTTATTCAAGAAGTATAATTCAGTTAGTTAAATTTAGAAAGAGAGAAAGAGGAATTCGAAAGGTTAGAATTCGAGAGAACACAAAGAATAAATGCACCTGCGCCATTGCAAACGGTTTTGAGCCATGTCACTCAGGGTCTCTAACCATCGATTAGTATCATCTCGTGAACCCCAACCAGGTAGTCGACAACTACCGACATGACTCAGTCCACTTGTCAGTGACTTCATGAATTTGTGCCATGTTTTGGTCTGGACGCCCCTGTCTTTCGTCCAAGCTATTCCTATATCGCAAAACATAGCTCGTCGAGGTAGTCAGTGGTTAGGCATACGTAACACATGTCCCAACCACCTCAACTGATGAAGTTTCAATACTTCATCTATTGACCTGACATCCGCACCAATTACCCGTTTTCCAACAAAAGCATTGCTCTCTCGGCTGTCCCACGATACTCTTGTCACTTACTCATACCAAGTTAAGAAAATGATCATATAATTTAAACAGTCATACAATTTTAATGCATTTAAAAATGAACAAAACAACCAATTAATTAGACAACTAGTTAGAAAATTTTGATAACATGATTTAAGTACTGTTTATAATTATGTCGATAGACTTGACTATATACGTGAAAAATAAAGTGTACACCAATTAAAAGAATATATGTTTAGCGTTGCGCAATATCTGTCGAAAGATAAGCACAAAATCATGCGATAGTACCATGTTCTAAGAGCAAAATAATACATCAAATTTACACAGAATTAAATCAATAATTTATGAAATTTTTTTGAGAGCTTATGTTTATGCTGTAATTTGTTATCCTTCTTTGTATTTACAAAACCATTTGTTGATATATTTTAATGTTTTATTTTGTAAATTATATAACCATTTACTGTTTGATATGATGAGCCAATCAGAAGTGGGTAAATAAGAAGGTCAACTGATGACCATCAGAAAATGTCCTATAGGATAAATGCATATCACTGGTTTAGAGATGACTTCCTTCTCTAAAGAAGTAGAAATGAGTGTTTTTACATGTTATTCGGTAGACAAATAAATTTTTTTTCCTGCTGTTACCTTCTCAATCAAGTAACTAGTTTAGAGGGTCGGCACGTATACTTATATATACTAGCTACAATAATTTGATATCCAAAATGCCAATTACATTTCACCTAGTTTCCTTTACATTTTCAAAAAATCGTTTCATAAGAATGAACAAATTTCCATTTAATACAACGATAACAAGTAACAATTAAAGAGGAATCATCAGCTTTCATCTCAAAAAAAAACAACATGTAAACGCATAAATATGAACTCACAATTAAATCTGTTTGTTGACAAGCTAATCCAGATGCTGGTGGTTCGATCAATCCAATAAATGCTGATGAACCAACTCTGTCAATCAATCCAGTTGTAAAAAGATTAGGATTTAAACGTACAATTCCTGCTAAAGCACTTGCACATGATAAAGTAAGTTCTTGTTGAATAGGATTAACACCAGCACGATTAGTACTAGAATCAGCAATACCTTGTGACCATAAACGACTGACAATATCTCCAGTTGTAATTGAATTTAAACAGGATGTGATAGATTCACTAAGTGAACCACTTACAGATATATCATAAAGTTGACAACCATGTATTGCAGTAACAAAAGCATCTAACGATTTTGCAGCACTTAAACGAATATGTGATTCTGTAATTTTTGTACATGAATTCTCTTCACTGGCAAGTGAATTACGACTGCCAAGAGTAGGATCCACATTTCGTATAACTGTACCGTCAAATGCGTCCAAAATTGAACTAGGTTCATTATTAGTAGAATTAGATCCTAAATTACTAGTATTTATATTGGTAGTTGTTGTTACAAGACGTATTAAATGATGAACAGCAGTTTGCCATTGAATAGCTTGTGTATCTATCGATATTGTATTGGATTTTCGATAAGCATACAATAATAAACAAGTGCAACAGCTTAAAACTTCACCCAATGCAATAACAGCTGCTTGTCGTAAACGTAAACTACAACGTGATGATGATTCACGTATAATATCAATTAAAACAGTTAAACAATTAGAAAATAACGATCCAGTACTGTGTGAAATCAAATTCAAACGATCCACATCAGTTTCATATTGATTTAATTGAATTAAAAATAAACCAATATAATATGACACTAGACTGCACAAACGACATAATCCTGTTCGTACATCATTTGGTAAAGTTGTACCAGATCGTAATTGTTTAGTTAATTCAATTAATAAATCAGGTGCTAATTGAATTCCAATTAAATCAGTACGACTCGTTGTATTGACAGTAGAAAAACGACGTTTACCATTAGTAAATGAATTTGATTTAGCCATTAACCATATTAAATAAGCTAGTAAATTTGTACGATAACTTTTCATCACTGTACGATTAGGTGATGCACGAAAAGTGGAAAATCGACTTGATATAGTTTCGGTAGGTTCGGCATTTCGTGTACGAAATAAATTCACAACCTTTTTTTTAAAAACAAAACAAAAATGAACGTAAATTTCTACAATAACAAACAAACATTTATACTAATTAATTCATTAGTCACTGAGTGGTGATTTTGGAAATTTCGAAAAACATATAGTCTAACTAGTGAGTATATATTATAGTATTGAGAGATTTCCCAGTGGCAGATCAGATCTATAAATGAGCGAAGATACTGCAACACACATGAAGCATTAAAACACGAGGGAAAGCATCTGATGACTATCTTCCAAAAGAAAGGCTATCCACACAACGTCATCGAAAAAAACATCAACTGAAATTGTTAACAGAAGCGAAATCAAGCACATGAACCAATCAACGGATCATCCTACCATACATAAAAGACATATCGGAATTTACAACACGACTGCTAACACCATTTGGAATAGGTGTGGCATACAAGCCAACAGAATCATTTCAATCACTCCTATGTGGATCAAAAGACAAAATGACAAAGGAAGAAAAACCAAATATCATCTGCGAAATAAATTGCTCAGACTGTGAAAAATACTACATAGGACAAAGTGGACGACCTCTTCAGCTTCGTTTACGTGAACACCAATTGGCAGTCTAACGCTACGACATTTCTGTACTTACATTAATATATACGGACAGTTATAGACAAACGGTGGATTGGAACAATGTTGACATACTGGATAGAGGAGGAAGAATAAAGTAGCGTGGCACTCAGGTTAATCAGCAATCAATAAACACATCGACACTGACCCAATTTATAAACCAACCAGAGAAATCATAGGCGACATAGGATCAAGAAACAGATCAAAAGGGAGATACAATCAAAACAAAGGTGCAAACAACGACAGATTTAAGATCAACAGCAATCAATCAAGATCGAGGTTACCAGAACAAGCTGCGGGTCAACCGTGGAGAAATTCGAATACTTCACTTCCATCTGAAGTCTGTACTGATGATGTTGTTCCAAAGAACAATGAAAGCACCAAAACCAAGACATCTAGCTCAGAGAACAAAACACCACCACAATTATTTCTAACACTGTTATAGAGAAAAAACAAATGACATGGAATAGTAAAGTAGTGATTATATACTAAATTTTTTTAATTTTTCAGCAATAAACTTTGGATTTCACTATAACTCAAAATAAAAACAGATAATTAATTACGATCTTCTATATTTAAGAATTGATTGAAATGATTTGTTTACAATCTATAGTGAACTTGATTTGATTCTTTCAACTATAACTATTTAAAGAAGATTAATATATATATATTCTATGACTCTACTTGTTATTTATAATAATAATAATAATCTTAACAATGAAAATACCAATAATTAAAATTGAATTGTGTGTCTCAAGATAAATAATTTAACAAATCTCTACTCTTATCATAAATATAGCAAACTTGGCCGGCATCCAACGGTGTTGGTGTCTAACTAGGATCAATCTAAGGAATTTGTGTAACCTCATCCATTTGTCTTTGGTAGTTACTACCTACACCAGACAGGTTTGAACTCCACTAATCACATCTTCTCACTAGAACTCCGGCCAATAGATCCAGAGGTCAAGCATTCGTGCTCAAGACCGAAGGTCCTGGATTCGAATCCTGCGAGGGCCAGGAGTCGTGGATGAGCACTGTTGATGAGTCCCATACCAAGACGAAACGGAGGTCCAGTGCTCCCGGGTTTCTAATGGTGGTTTTCAATGATTCATTGATGATTTTAGTGTGTACAAATACTAATCTTCATAATTGTAATTAGTAAAAGTCGGTGTGATGAATAGCGAATAGAAATTTTCATTATATTTTTTGAATTCCCAAATTTGTTCTTTGTAAAAAAAACAGATTTTGGTAGAAAATTAGGCGAGATGATAACTGATGGATGAGCAGCATTCAGCAACACTATAGTGACCTTCAGAGAATTCACCTATTTACTAAGGGGTAATCAAAAGTGGGTAAGGATTGAGAGTTAGCAATCAAAGTTAAGATTTTCATCACGAACTGACACATCAGCGACAAAACTAAAATTTTATTTTCGTGCCAGACCCTAAGAGTTGCTATTTTTTCAATTCATTCGTTCGCCTATAAATACTAGTCTCACTTTAAATTCAAGAGAAATTTTAGATATACAACTAATTTAAAAAAAAATTAAGTGTATAAAAGTAAAAGCGAAAACTTGTAATAGCATCTAACTACTCCATATAACTGATATCAATTTATTGTGTCAACACTGTACATATGAATTAAACAGTCAAAAGCAAGTAGCTATAAAGCTATAAAGCTATGGACAGTTACAATATACTAGTTGTGTTATTTAGAAATCTTGGGTTCCTGAACTTGTAATATATGCACTTTGTTGAGAAACCCAAAAATTGGACGAAATAATCGACGAATGATATTGATATTTTATTTTCAATAATTCACTACCTACCAGCTAGTATTTGTTTGTAGTCAGAACAAAATATAAGTTATATACACTATAATAATACTACTACTACATAATTTATTTAAATGACTAAAATGATATGATTTGAGAAGTATAAAGTTAGCTAGCTAACCAACTAGTCTTGTTGATTGGTTATACATGTATGAACTAGTTTAAAATTTAAAGACAACTTAAAAAACAGTATGGATTAATATAGTGTTTCATTGTTCAAAGAGAGCAGGCAGAGACTTGCAGAAAAGGAGTTACAACGATAACACCATATTAATAACTATCTAATTAAAATCTAACTAAATGATTTAGCATCACTGCTGACAGCTTCATTCTTGACTACATACATCATTCCCACACTCAGTGAGTAAAGTACACACATATTAGTGATGTTTCAAAGATGTTAATAACCAAATGTTGCTCTTTCACTAGTTGACCCGTAAATAATCTTAGCACACTAATCTCAACTGAAACTTTTTTGTATGCTGTACAATGGAAGCTTCGTAAACAATCAGCCATCCAACAATCAGAACTAATACGGCTAAATAACTAGATCAATTGAATGAGAAAAATGTTTAACTTCTTCAACTGCTCTAGTCAGAATCAATGTTCAAATTACAGTAAATTTTTACTAGTATTTTTATTTGAATCATTTGTTTACATTAAACCAGCCAAACAAGTAAATGCTACTATTATATTTTATATACTCAACTAAGTAATGATACTTTTTTAAAAATTCTAAATAAAAGAAAATGTACATAAAAACATTATAAAATATTTTTTACAAAAAATACCTATTAACTAACTAACTAACTAAAAAAACAAACTAATAACCATTTAAATGTTTGAAAAGAATGCCGGTTAAAACTTCAATAACAATCAAAGTTTGTAAATTGAATTGACAATGTGTTTAAGAATACTGAATATCATCAATGAAAAACCGAAAGCTTTGTAGATTATAAATGTTTCATGTTTGTTAATCAATGATTTTTACAGCCTATTAATGCTACTTCTATTATAGTTCGCAGGTATACACATACACTCGAAGAGATTGTTTTTTTTTATGTTTAAGAAAAATTCGACTTGGCAATATGCCACACAAAATAATTTTTTTAAAGTTTATAATATTAGTTATTTTTTGGCGGAATATTTAAATTTCGAAACTTTAGTCGACAATCAATGTTTCGGCTGTGATGAGAAGATATGAATGATCATGTGAACAATACCAAGAGTTCTTCCGTAGGACAGTGATTGATTCACAGAAGACTGCAATGGAATTTTGTAATTAAGTAACTTGTAGTAGAAAAAATCGACGATAACTGATGTGTTTTTTTTTTCATTTTTACAGCCAAAGTAAGTTACAAGTAGGTGATAGTTTAAATAGTTCGTATTAAAAATTATAATATTCCTAATGACGTTATGACAATAAATAATGGATGTTTAAGATATTACAAACAACTCTCATTAATTAGAAATCGAAAATACAACCATTAAGTATCTATGCCTTTTTTGGAAGAATTTCAGACAGTTCATATTTGGTGGAACAAATGATTGATATTAAAATTTTGATGAATATTTTCATACTAATTCATTAAAAATTTCGATCAGACAAAAAAGTGTGAATCTTGTTCAAAGTGATGCTATATAAATAAGGTCACTATTATTTTTGTATTGATTCAGCATAAAGTTTGTTTGTGAACTTTCATTCTGTGTAATGATTGTATTCTCTGCACCAATTGAGGTGAACTGTATTCAGTGAGCAATTGTTAAATAACACTATGTGTTGTTCCCTTTTATATTATGTATGATTATCAAGTGTGTGTGTGTAAAATTTGTTATAGAAATGATTGTATTTTGGTAAAAGATGTGATTTAGGACAACGTGATTTTTGGGAGTCAATCCATCTTGATCGGACTTCGCGTCTTGGGAATTGTTAACGGTTCTCGTTCACCGGATAAGTGGTAGGATATAGAAATTGCAATGATTCCCGACTTTCATATAAAAGCAATAATACTGTGGACTCAACTGAGTCGACAGGTACTTCTTAAGAAGAGCAGCAACTTCTCAACTATAACAATTTGCAATCTGAATACAAAAGTGGTAATGTGGATATAATACATTCAACTGGGTTGATTTCTACTTAAAAATCAGTGAATTTTCTATCTTTTATCACGACTGTTATAATATTTCATCTTCATTTCACTAATGTATTTTTTTATTGTTCAAGTATTCAAGCATACTTTCTACTAATAATTTACATCTGTTTTGATTGATTCCACAATGAAAATAATTTTTAAAGACACTTAGGTTATATACTACCAAATTAAAATGTGATTTGCAATTGAACTTCACAAAAAAGAAATCACGTACGGAATAATTGAAAATTCAAGCAGCATTAAATACATACGAGATGTGATATCTGCTAATAGTATTACGTAATTTACTTGCCAAAAATCGAACAAGGTAGTTCTTATAGTGTCACACTAAAAGCCTTTAGGCTGATGATCCTATCTCTGTTGTTGAAACCGAAGTAAGTGAAATGAACAGCTTAATACTCATACTCCATCGCACTACAAACTTTTAATTACTACTACCGTATTCAGACAAGACGAAAAGACGAAAGCTTAAGTGATACAGTCACTGATATTTCATTGTGTAGTTCGTTACGTGAAGCTATTTTAATTATCTATCATGTTTAAATGGAAATATATCTTCTTTTCCCCATATGATTACCTAAATTTATCAAACTCTTTTCAAATTCATGAAACTGTAAACTGGTTAATGAGACACAGAGAGAGAGAGAGAGAAAGAGAGTTGAAGTACATTCATTTTTGGATCAAAACAAGCAAATATTATAATTTCTTAGATAATTTATATCATTAAAATAAGTCAGTCAGTCAGTCAGTCAGTCAGTTACAACGTAGAACTTCGTACGAATGTACATCAGTTCAAGTTGTCATACTAGAGCACATATTAGCACAGAGACTCAAATATTAACAGTATTATCGAAGAGATTAGTGTTCATTGAAAACTTACTTCACAAATATGTTGTTCCAAATCTTCTAACGATGATATAGTATTCAATGAAATTGGATCATATAATCGTGTCAATCCATCAATTTTCGTTGGTGGCATAATCCGACCCCAACGTATATAATCACTTAACGGTTTCGGTTTCCATATATTTTGAAAATTTGAATTTAAAATATGTCCATTTACAAATTTCTTTTGATCTGAATCCATGATAATAGTATTATTATTATTATTATTATTATTACTATTATTACTGTTGTTGTTATTAATATTTTCAGTAAATAAATTCCATAATTCAGCAATGGATTTTGTTTCTCGAGGAAAATTAACTGAATCATCACCCCATGGATAGATAAGAGCTAGATTTGCTCTTAAACGTAATGATTTACAAGTTGACATTTCTACTGAGTCTAAATTAATTGTATAATTCTTTTCATCATGATTAGCCAGTGAAGTATGCCGTGTTAAATTGAAAATATTTTTGGAAATTTCTTCTTGTGCTAATGATAAGAAAAAAAAATGATTCAATAGAGGAGAGGAGAAAAAAAAACATTTTGAATATAAATTTTAATTTTAAAAGTGTCATTTTATACATTGAATACTTACTTGAATTAGACAACAAACCAACAAAAAAAAGTGATAATCAGATAATTTTTTTTCGAATAAAAAATATACAAAAACACTACTTTAATTCATTATTAAGAAGCATCATAAATACGCACTGTAGCAGTGTATTCATATTTATGATGTATAAAAGATCACATTGAAATCATTTGAAAATAGTATGCAGCAAACGAGATTCAATCTTATAGTAATACAAACTTTTGATGTGTAGTATATTAAAAAAAAAGTTACATTACATACTTAAAATGATATATTAGGTAGGATTGAGAGATTTGAAACAAACCGTCTGAAATAATTAATATGCATTCAAAAAATCCAGATTGTTTAATGTCGATTTATATGTAGCTGTAGAAAGGACTCCATGGCCGTTAAGGGTAGAGGACATTCGTAGGTTTCTAGTATTCGATCATCTGTGTCTCCCAAGCATTGCTTGTCTATCATGGGACAACCGTATAAGCAATTCTATCGTTAGGAAACGAGTTCTAGGTAAGGATAGCAAATCAATAGATGAAGCATTGAAACTTTATCAGTTGAGGTGGTTGGGATATGTGTTACGTATGACTAACCACCGACTGCCGCAACGAGCTATGTTTTGTGGTGTAGGAGTAGGTTGGAAGAAAGCTAGGCGCAGCCAAACCAAAACATGGCACATATCCATGAAGTCACTGAAAAGTGGACTGAGTTATGTTGGTAGATGTAGGCTATCTGGTTGGGGTCCGCGAGACGAAAGTCATCAATGGTTAGAGACCTTGAACGACATGGCTCAAAATCGTTTGCAATGGTACAGGTGCATCCACTCTTTGTGTGCTTTTTAATTCTAACCTTCTGAATTCCTCATAATCTCTATCTTTCTCCTTACAAATTTATCTCACTGAATTATACTTTTCGAATCATATCTTTGCTACCTAATCTTCTCCATTACTGCCAATACTTCCATTATCGCTATCACTCCTGTATTTGAACTGACAGTTGCGTCTCTGTGCTGATGTGGTATGGCAACCTGAACTGATGTAATTACGTACGAAGTTCTGTGTTGTATCTGTCTTTTCTTGTCTTGTAGAAAGGACTTAGAAGACACATGTAATGTATATGCCTGTACATTATTAGCCAACTTTATTTTCCTCTATGTGTATAAACGCGGCATGTAAACGCAGAATTATTTTATTATTTTAGTGTCTTCTTACATAGTCGATCTACTGAGTGAGTACTATGATCGCCTGAAAATCAGGCGAAAGGTTTTATACGGAATCGATAAGTCGATTTATTAGGCTATTAAAAATTATAGACTAAGCTGATTTATAAACAAATTACACAGTCTTAGACACCGCAATGTTTGGACTGTAATCCTAGCTAGAATAAGGCTAAGTTGGAGCAGGACTATGAGCGAAATCCTGTTATTAGATTGAATTGTATTGGTACGTAAAAACTTCATGAACCATGATAGTTATCTATGGTTGAAGTTATTAGGCGACAAACCCAAAATCTATAGTATTTTTAATACACAAACATACTATCCAATTAGAGTTGGACCAACAATGAGGATTTATGAAAATAAGTCTTAACATTATCTAAAATATGTGCTCTGAAATCACTTGCCAGCCATGGTAATTTGGTTACACACACTTAGATTATTACTGGGTCTGTTAGATATCAACAATTTCTACTTGAAACACTCATGTCAAGCGTACTACTGAATGATAAAGGATGCTTATGTTTATAAAAACACCCGCGATTTATACTCAAATGTTTCAGCCTTTGGACGAATTAATCAGTCCATTCTTCTCAAGCTGATCTTACGTCAGCTGACTTAGTCAATTATTCGTTTCAAATCTTGGTTGTTTTAATTTACGTGTGTATGCATCGATTATTTCGCTTTCACATGTCTAGTTTATTTTTGTCTGACTATATATACTTAGCCATGCCTCATCACATTCAGTTGGCTCACTTGTCTTCTCGGCTTCACTTAGCTTTCCCGCTTTTTATCCTCATTTCTGTCTACATGAACCATTGCATGAAATAAACTCATCCAACTTAATCCGTATTTGGTTTCTTATTACCGCCGTCGTACAGACGGGGTTCGCCTAAGAATGACATACGGAAATTTAGCCAACAGATACAAGTCACGATAGATTTTTAAAAAAATTTAAATAATGACTGGATAAGTTTTAGTTAAGTGACTGGTGGTACAATCTAAAAAGTTCCCGTTTCGTCCTATTTAGAACACATCAACTAAAGGTACATGCAGCTCAGTGTTAATGCTTACACTGACACTTGCTTTCAGCACCAAATAGATAATGCACTCTAGATTAACACATGGTAACAGATTGGTCAACTGTAATCCTAAAAATATCAATGACAACAAACCAATAAGTGCTTGAATAGTTCACTGAGTTCATATCAAAAACGTTACCGCACCAGTAATTAAACATGTAAGTAGATGTGGAAACTATGATGTGAAGCAGTTATTCATAAATAAGATGCATTAAATTCAATTAATTCTAATCTTTTTCTCCAGATCATACTCATAAATATAATGCGTCAGTTGACTAACGATTATGTTGTCGGTTTGATTTTTTCCTTCATTAGCTACCCTACTTCATATGATAGTCTAACTACAAAACTTCATTTAATTAACTTTCCAGAGGTTAGGCGTTCGCGCAGAAGACTGAAGGTTCCGGGTTCGAATCCTGTGGGATGCAGGAGCAAGACAAAACGGCTGTCCAGTGCTTCCAGGTTTCTAATGGTGGTCTAACAATGATTGATTGATTGATGATTTCAATGTGTAAAAACATTAATCTCCATAACTCTAACTGAATGAACATAAATGCTACATCATGGTGAAATCCAGTTCCCTGTTCTTATTAGTTAAATCGAATAGCCTCCATTCTGTCGGTATAAATATCAGATATTCTGCCAACGAGTTTTTCCTACAGACTACAAAGTAAATTGTTCAATGTAATAGATAGGTCTTGAGAAAAATTTCAAGGTGAACAATAAGAATACTAGAAATCTTAAGTTATAATTAATTAATAAAATAATCTTATTACAACTTACTTTGAGATAAATTTGATGTGTATGCATGATATTCACTTTGAACCATTCTATCATTAGAAGAAAATGAATCTTTCTTTGTTTTTGATTTATCTGAATTATTCGAATTATTTACAACCAACTGATTATTTGTAGTCATCATATGTTCATTTAACTTTTGACATGGTAAGTTTGATTTTTTATTATTATTATTATTATTATTAGCACTGTTATTAATAGCAGTACTAGTGATAGTGGTAGTAGTAGTAGGAGGAGGAGGAGTAGTAGTATCAGTAGTAGAGGTAGCAGTAGTAGGAGTAGGAGTAGTAGTAGTATTAGTAGTAGTAATGGTGGTAATCGTAGTATTAGTATTAGCAGCAACAATACTACTAATATCTTGTCGATCAAGATGACAATAATTAGTATCGGTGTTATTATGTGTAGGAATAGTAACCACACCAATAGTGTGTTCACTATCACTTACTGGTGCCAGCGAAGAAATTGAAGCATCCGAATTAGAAATGGCCGAATCAAATGATTGTGGCTTTTCATTTCCTTCTGTTGTTGTATTCATTGACTTTTCATTGTAATGTGATAGTTTTGGTGTATCTTCACTATTTTTCGATGGAAATGACGTAACAGTTGTTGAATTGGTTTTACCATTTACATAACATTTTGATTCCATTTGTTTATTATCTACAGGAGCCTAGTAGAAGAAGAAAATGGGAAATCAATATGAACAAAAAAAATTCCCCCAGTTTATTTATAATATAATTTGTTCTTGTCTAATTGTTATTGTTTATTTACGACAAGAATTCAAACTTGATCTTTTTGTTGGGATATGTGCACTCTGAATACATTGCCCCTTGATATAGTCTTTTTTATCACAGGTCTAGGTATATAAACATGAAAACAGTAATAATTAGTTAGTTATTCAATTAAAGTTATGAAGATTGGTGTTTTTACAACATAATGGAATCATCAATCAGGATTAGACAGTAACACCGTTGGGTGCCGGCCCGGTGATCCAGAGGTTGGGCGTTCGTGCGCAAGACTGAAGGTCCTGGGTTCGAATCCTGAAAGGTTCAGGAGTCGTGGACGTATACTGCCGATGAGTCCCTCATACCAGGACGAAACAGCCGTCCACTGCTTTCAGGTTTCTATTGGTGATCTAACAATGATTGATTGATGATTTCAATGTGTAATAATTAGTTAATTTGACTAACATACTCAATTGTTCTGAATACGACTAGAAATACGCTGAACACAACAAGTAACATATCTATAAAAATACCTTGTATCTCTTCCATAAAGATGAGTATTAAAAGTAGGTATACATGGAATACTTCTTCATAAAATGAAGATAAATATCATCTTTTTTGGGCAGTATTTACCTATTTCTGTTTTATACTGCTCAACATCACTGATTATTAAGGAGAATATTTTTTAAATATGTTTACCCTAAATAAAAAAGATTTCGTTCTTAGAAACACTGAGGCTATAACTTCTTACTATAATCTTCTGAAGTTTACTTTGAAGTTAGTCATCAATACTAAGTGTTATTCAGCTAGACAGTTTTTAGAGATCTGTTCAACTTGAAAATATTTCTCTATATGATACAACATTTTCTTACATTACAGTTATCTCTTTTATTTATAATTAGCATTGTCCGTAGTTTGCTCATTATTGCATAACAGGCTGTGATGGTAAATTGTATGTAGCTTCGAATTATTACTTACTTACTTACTTACTTACTTACGCCTGTTACCCCCAATGGAGTATAGGCCGCCCACCAGTTTTCTCCAACCAACTCTGTCCTGGGCTTCCCTCTCCAGTTCTGTCCAATTTTTGTTCATTCCTCTCATATCTTTCTCTATTTCTCGACGTAGTGTGTTCCTTGGCCTTCCTCTTTTCCTTTTGCCTTGAGGGTTCCATGTGAGGGCTTGTCTCGTGACGCAGTTAGGTGCTTTCCGCAATGTGTGTCCTATCCACTTCCACCGCTTCTTCCTGATTTCCTCATCCACTAGAATTTGGTTTGTTCTCTCCCACAGTAAGTTGTTGCTGATGGTGTCTGGCCAACAAATACGAAGTATTTTGCGAAGACAACTGTTAATAAACATCTGTATCTTCTGGATGATAGTCTGTGTTGTTCTCCAAAATTCCGCTCCATACAGTAGAACTGTCTTGACATTTGTATTGAATATCCTGATTTTGGTTTTGGTTGAAAGTTGTTTGGAGTTCCAGATATTTTTCAACTGTAGAAATGCAGCCCTTGCTTTGCCAATCCGCGCCCTCACATCTGCATCCGATCCACCTTTCTCGTCGATGATGCTGCCCAGATATGTAAAGGTTTTAACGTCCTCCAAGGCATCTGATACTGACTAGTTGCTTCACCGCCGCCCTGGAACTTGTAATGAGTGATACACAATAAGCCTTCTAATAATTTTTAAACTTCCTAATTCAAGAGTTGAATACTGCATGACAAGTTTTTCAATTATTTACCTCGTTTCATATATAAATGAATAATCAATGACAAAAATATAAGGAAAATCATTATTTAGCATAAAATAAACTACACATGAACACTTCAAAGTATCTTTTAAAAATAAATATAAAATTAATAAAAACAATTTATATCTTCTTACCTTATTTAAAACATTCTTATCTTCAACTAGATCAACAGAATTTGTCACAGAAATTCGTTGATGCCAAAATGGATGTTTGATTAAATCATGTTCATTTATTCTTTTAGAAGAAGATTTAGTCAAAAGTAAAGTTAAAAGAGATTTGAATAATGAAGATGGTGGAATGCTAACATTGGGATTTGAATAATTTGGCTCACGATTTAAAATATTTCTGTCCAGCTAAAAGAATTTTTTAAGTAAAATAATTAAGATAAGTAATTAAGTAATTAAATAGTCAACTATCGGAACAATATACAATGGAATAAATCTCAAAGATAAACATGTTTATGTTATCAATATTAGTTTATAACGTTGCTAACTAATTTAACAAGTTCATAGTCAACAATCATTTGAAGTAAACTTCTGCAAGTAGTCGTCAATCACCTACATGATGGATTCCTAAAAGCCTAACAACATCATAAATTCACAATGAATACTAAAGAATCAAAAATTTAGGAATTATACAAAATGTTGCATAGGAATAAATTCAACGAAGTTAACCAAAAAAATGAACAGTTAGGGCGAAGGTCAATTACACATATTATATTTGTCTAATAACAAATGTACACTTCATGTAAAAAACTCAACTTAGCTACACCTATAGATGATAAGTAACGGCTTTTTTTTTTAATCTTAAACCATACACATCATTCACTATCATCATAAAAAAAAAAGAATAAAACTAGTTTCAACCATCAATACGAGTTTTTTTTTACCAACTAATCAATAATCTCTTAGCTTATGTTTGGTGTATTAACACCGATTATATAATCAATCAATTCACCACCACATGATTAACTACTAATGATTTTGTAAATTAACAATTTGCTACTATAAATCGTAAGTAACTAAGGAATACAATCATCATCATTCGTTGTTGTTGTTGTTCTATTTTGTTACAAATAGTTAAAAACAATCACTTCCCAAAAAAAAAAATATTCTTATCCAGTATAAAAGATCACATATTATTGTAAGAACATTCAATTATTCAATGTATCCGAAGCATTTTGTTCGTGTATCCTTGGACGACCGAGTGAGCAATGCTATCGTTAGGAAACGAGTTCTAGGTAAGGATAGCAAATCAATAGATGAAGTAGTGAAACTTTATCAGTTGAAGTGGTTGGGATATGTGTTACATATGACTAACCACCGACTGCCGCGATGAGCTATGTTTTGTAGTGTAGGAGTAGGTTGGAAGAAAGTTAGGGGCGGCCAAACCAAAACATGGCACAAATCCATGAAGTCACTGACAAGTGGACTGAGTCATGTTGACAGATGTAGGCTACCTGGTTGGGGTCTGCGAGAGGAAAGTCATCAATGGTTAGAGACCTTGAACGACATGGCTCAAAATCGTTTGCAATGGTACAGGTGCATCCACTCTTTGTGTGCTTTTTAATTCTAACCTTCTGCATTCCTCATAATCTCTATCTTAATCTCACTGAATTATACTTTTCGAATCATATCTTTGCTGCCTAATCTTCTACATTGCTGCTAATAATTCTACTATCGCTATCACTGTTGGATTTGAACTGACAGTTGCGTCTCTGTGCTGATGGGGTATGGCAACCTGAACTGATGTACTTATGTACAAAGTTCTGTGTTATATCTGTCTGTCTGAATTAACTGGTTAACGAAAGAGATCACACATATACAGAGACATAAAATAGACTGCTGTTCTCACTATCGAACAAGTGATCAAAAAAACTAAACCATTAATAAAATTATCACGAAATAAATTGGATATCCACTGACCGAAATGAAAGTAATCAAGATAATATTTTAAATATGCATGATGATATAAAGAAAAATACAGTCCAGCTATCTTATTTACCTATCTATTATCTATCATGATTTGAGCATAAAATAAAAATTGTAAAGTTCATTGATTAATTTAAAAAAAGCGAGAAAGATTTCACCAAGTAATGAAAATTAATTAAGAAATAACTGAAACCAAGTGATAGAAGATATATTTTTTTTCCGAAAAAAAATTTGTACAGACTTAAAGTAATGCAGCATTCTAACTAACTATGCCAAAAAATGAAGGCATATCATCTGTTCGCCTTGCATGAAAATAACATCGTACAAAAGTATTCGACAACAAAACGCATCATCACAAAATCAACTTCGGTAACTCGGAAAAGGATATTTCTACTATTAAACTATTCGATCGAAATCCAACTACATAAGATAAGATGGAGGAGATACTATAGGATTTCAACAGTATTATTCACATGACGAAATATAAACTGCAAGACTGTGCAATAATACCAAGAAGTCTTAAAACATGATAACCTATGTTGTCTGTTTGTATTTAATAAAACGTGGAAAATTAAAAAAAATGGATCCATTCTGAACATAAAAATAAAAAACAGACAATGCCATTTGGTTATATGAAACTTAAAATGAAAAAACTATCTAAATCTACTACTCATTATGAATGATAATAAAATCCAACTTATTTACACCAATGATTTTATAATTTGTCAGGATTCTAACGTTCTAGTTTATGACTATATCACAGATTAGAGCATATGATGCATTTATTATATTTGCAGTTGTCTTAATGCAATAAGCTATCTACAGAAACCACACAAGTGATTAAATAGGTTGGGAATTAAATCCAACCAACTGACTCACTTTGTTACACTTTAAACTGTAAAGTGAGGCAACTTTAATTTTGACAAGATATGTTAGTCATTTAAAACGTGAAACTTCGTACGTAAGTATATCAATTCAGGTTGGCATGCCATTTTAGCACAGAGATACAATTGTCAATTCAAATTCCATGGTGGTGGAGATAGTAGGAGCATTAGCGGTTATAAAGAAGATTAGGGAGCAAAGATATTATTCAAGAAGTATAATTCAGTGAGATAACTTAAGAGAAAGATAGAGGTTGTGAGCCATTCAGAAGATTTGAGTTTTACAGAACACAAAGAGTGGATGCATCTGCGCCATTGCAAACGATTTTGACCCATGTCGTTCAAGGTCTCTTACCGTCGATTATTATCGTCTCGCGGACCCCAACCAGGTAGCCTCCATCTACCAACATGACTCAGTCCACTTGTCAGTGACTTCATGAATTTATGCCATGTTTTGGTTTGGCCAGCCTTAGCTTTCTTTCAACCTAATTCTACATCAGAAAACATAGCTCGACGAGGCAGTCGGTGATTGAGCATACGTAACACATGTCCCAACCACTTCAACTGATGAAGTTTCAATACTTCATCAATCGATCCGCCATCCCTACCTTGAACTCGTTTCCTAACGATAGCGTTGCTCACTCGGTTGTCCCACGATACTCGAGCAATGCTCCGAAGACACCTATGATCGAATACTAATAACATACGAATGTCCTCTACTCTTATCGGCCATGTTTGGCATCTGCATAGTAGGACAGAGCAAACTACTTCACATTACACTCGACCTTTGGTTAGCAAACAGATATCTCGTCTACGTTACAAGTGACGCAAATCGGCATAAGTCAATCAAGCCTTCTGTATCCGTGCGGAGATTTCGTCAGTCACCAGGTCATCAGCACTGATGAGACTCCCCAGATAAGTGAAGCGGTCTACACGCTCGACTGCTTCACTCCCTATCACTAGTTCAGGTGCCGTCGCAAGCCAATCTTGAAGTAATGTTTTGCATTTCGACGGGGAAAACTGCATCCTGAATATGCTTTCGTTGTTGCTTAGGGTAGTCAGAAGACTCTGTTTGTGGCCAATTACGCACTGCCTTTTTGTGAGAAGTTTTAAAAGTGTTGGCTCCGCTCTCGTTTGAAAGACCTTACCGCCGGAGGCGAAAATCCATGAGGTAAGGTGAGGTGTGAAATTTAGGATCGACCTTTTCTAACCCTTCCTTCCTTATGAAAATGCATCATAGCTGCAGATGCTGGTTGTCTGAGGGAAACATCTTACTGCTGTCACACCCCTCTACAGTCAGCAATACAAATTCTCCCTCAAAACTTGCGTAGCTGCTTTTAGTCTCATCGTTCTCCAATCGACCTGCCTGGCATGGTAGAACCTTCTGGAACATAAGTTCCAGCCAATCAGCTCCGTTAGGTCATCACGATAGGCAAGCCCGACCACCACGCCAAGATAGCAGATCAGCCGGGACAAGATATATGTAGCCGAAAGCAAATCCATAAGTTCGGTAAAACCGTGAATACAAGCAGCTGCACTACAATAGGTCGACTTCTGGTATTCTTAACGATCGCTAGTTAAGGCTTTAGTAAAGTCTTTAAACAGTCAATTTACCAATATCATACATCTGAAACCGCCAGTCAATAAACTAGGTCATTCCGGTGTGTTTAATATAACATCACTAAATTCTGGTCAACGGACATGTACACAACATTTCGTTATCCTTTTAGAATATTATGATTTAAAAGTTCAATCAGCCTGTAACCTTAAAACATAAGATGTATAATGCCTAATTGTTTTCTTGAATTACTGCATTGTGATGCATGCTGCGATTAGACCATTTAAACTTGGAGATCATTTTGTAAGAAATTGCAAGGTAATACTTACATTTGTCATGCTGTAAAGTATTTCAAATCAATAACTAAGCTTTGATGTGATGCAAGACAAAAGTATTTTCTGTGGGAACATAAATTGTTTTTGTTATCTGATGAAGAAGCTAGTATCGTTCGGAAACAACAAACTATGTCCAACAAACGAATATCTAGGGGTACTGACTGAAATACTTACCACCGAATTCAAGTCATGATTATTTGTGATAAAACTAATGATATAACTAAGTCTTTTTAGATGACAAAAACCGCTAATCAACTATTGGCTAGACAGTAAGAATTAGGTATCTTTGAACCGATTCGGTTGACATAAATCTTGGGACAGCAACACACATAACCAGGCCGCAGTCTAGTCTAACTAGACAAAATAACTCCTTCTGAAACTCATTTTATACTTTCTAGTGAAAGCTTTATTACATGGATGCACAGAAAGGAGCGAAACTTAGCACAGTTGCGATACGAATCAGTGCAACTGAAAAACGGCTATTATGACCAGTTCTGTAAGTATCTGGTATAAATATGCGATAAATCAAGGTATACCTTAAAATTGGCTGATATTTATAAACTGAAAAAAATAAAAAGGATGAAAATTTGCAATCACAAAGAATCACCAATATCAAAATTCTAAACCTATAAAGGCAAATGACCGCTTAAATTCTCGTCTCATCTTCAAAATATACTTTCCGAATTGAGATATATTGTACGAATCAACAATGACGCGCGATGCGAGTAATTTCAATAATTTTATAGACACAAAAATAATATACAAACCTCCTAAGAACAGAAGACCGAAACTGATAAAACATGATGCAAACACACACTTTTCTCGATGTATCATGTGTACTGTCACTTGCGATTAGGACCAAGACGGTCGCGATATTATTGTCGAAATTCCACTACTCACTTAGTGACTGAAATTAACCCACTGATTCTATATCTAGAACTTCATTATTGTAATTCACAAAGACGTATGTGTCATTGAAGAAAATGTATTAAAGTATGAAATGATGTTTTGCTATTGGGTTTCAAGATTGTAAAACAGCATCTGAATTGTGTTCATTAGAATTAAAACTTGGGGTTCAAGAAAAAGCCTTCAGAAAAGTTTCTTAAATTAGGATCGTACAATGGTCTGAAATTAAGTGTACTAGGTCTGTAATCTATATGTTATCAGTTCATGAAATCCCTGAAAACTGATGAATGATTTAAAAAGATATGTTAACTTTTATTCTTAAAAGGAAGCTGTAGTTTTAAAGTAAGAATCCGGTTTCACTTTTTTAAGAAATCAGGTAGTAACTTCAGTAGTCATATAGCAGATAAAGGCCAGGAAACAGTACGACGACATGAACCTCATGGCGGACTAATACCAAAATAATGCTAGTCCATGTGAACCACATGCGACAACATACTACAAAGGAATGTAAATAATAGGAGATTCCGATAGGTTCCTTCAGGTCAGTATTAGTTCGTGCATAAAAAGCTGACCTACTTGCTTTCATTTTGCTCAAAACCATCAATCATACATTGTTAAAACAACTACTAAAACTCAGAAAACCGAAGTCAACATGGAACGCAAAGTAAAATGAAATTCTTTTCAGTTAAATTACATATTAGATAGTATGGAAACAAACAAAAAGCTTTCTGAATAATATTTTGGACAATTAAACAGATAATGATGGTCATAAATACTTCAAAACAAGGACTGTTGCACAAAGCGAACCTAGATTTGTTTCAAATAGTCATTAGCTACTTAGATAACCTCGTTTTGTCAAAATATCACATGAGAATCACTTTAAGCAAATAAGCTTACCTCTTCCTGTGATTCACCGGAAAAGGGAGGATGTCCAAAAAACATGTTATAGAACAAACAACCAAGGCCCCAGTAGTCAGATGATTTTGAATTTACATACTGAAGTATGGTTTCAGGAGAATCGTATTCTGAATGCGCAGTTATACCACGAAGAAAATCACCCTGATTATAATCATCTTCCTCACAAAATTGTACCAAGAGTTCATCCAAGATTTCATCTTCTGCGTGTGCTAACGAGAAATCGAACAGCTTGACGGTTCCATTGCCATCTAGCAAGAACTGCAAATTTATTAAGAATCACATTTCGACTTACACGAGAAGGTAGCAGACGGTTGAAAACTACTCCCCTTGAATGGACATATTGCAAACCACGAACGATGTCTGCTCCAAACTTTCTAACCACGTTTTCGCTTAAGAATCGATCTTCCTTTATAACTTGCTCAAGGCTTCCACCTGTACACAGCTCCATTACAAGCCACAAATGATTACTAGTCTCATACCATTCATAAAACTGAAGTACGTTTTTGTGCTTCAGTTCGTGAGATACCCTAACATGATTCGATATAACCGGTCTTTTGTGTTTTTCAGCACAAGCGACAGCTAGATACTTAATGGTTCCTTTTCGTCTAGCTTTATAGATAACCTGCTCGTTAGTCTTTTCGATTTCATCGTACAACACAAAATTTTCCATCACTCCAATCTTGGCCTTTAATCATAAACACCATATATGTCACGTGTGCAGCTATGTATTAGGAATGTGAATAAATACAATAAGCGCGCTGTTTACAATACAAACAACCTCAAAAATGCCTCACCTCGTTGAAAATATATTCTAGAGCATACTAACAAATCATCATTTTTGAATTTTTTTCAAGTCGCTTATATATTTTTCAGTCGTTTCACACCTTTCTGTTATAGCCGTTAGCAAGTTAATGATGGAAATGTTAAGTCAGTTTGTATCTTGACAGACAAAATCCAGTAAAACTAATATCTCCAGTATCTTTTTCAAGAGATAGAGTAAACCGATTTCTTTCTCTGCTGTTGATTCTTTTTCTTTCTGAAGGGTTCCAGATGTTTCCGTTGTCCAATGGATGGCAGTGTATGTACCACGATTTGAGTAAGTGCCTTTGTGTCAGGGCAGTAGACTCTTGGAATACCAGCAGCTATGACATAACCAGGTTAGAGGTGAGTTATTAGCAATTAAGAGAATATTACAGAACCAACTAAATAAGTAAGCTAAATAATCGGTCGTTAACATTGTGGGAGAGGAAAAAAGTGGCGAGAGTATAAAGAAAGGAGGATATAGAGATAACAACTGAGGAAGAATATGTTGACGATCTGGGGAAATGACATCAGCTATAACCAACGGGTTTCGAAATATGCATCAGGCACAGCTGGTACAAGTGGGTGATGTTGATCCGTATGTGAGTTCATGTTTTAGAACTCTCTATTATTTAAGCCGTCCACTTCGGCTGGGACAGCATTCCAAGGTAAAATAAGAAAATGTGATCGGGTACCTAGCTGTTAGGTTGTTGGTGGGAAATTTTTCTATGGTCACCTCCTAGGACACGTTGGTTAGGTAATGAAAAAATGCTCGTGTCAGGATGATTCGGTGAGCTTAATATGCTGAGCGAATAATCATATCATCTCTTATTCACAGATAACTCAGAGGGGATAACCGCAAGTTTTGAAGTCCGTTCTCGTAAACTTACCCATTTAGTTGCTCGCCTCTGCACTTGATCGAAGGAATTCCTGTCTCTTTTAAGAAAAGGGGTACGGTGACGTTGTGAACCTCTAGTTGTGGTTGTGTGTATTTCAGACATTGTTAAGCATACTCCTGAGGTATTTGCATCAAATTTTCATAGCCCAAAGTGCAGATTTGCGTTAGCCTTGGGTTAGTGGTTTTGTAGTAGTCTCTGAGCCAGGATAGAAGTGAATCGGGGAAGTCCATTCTTGCAATCTTTGTGATTGGAAGTACTGGAGATACTGAGTGGAAAGCTTACATGAAGTAAAAGTATATTATATGAACCAATATTTTTCGGTTCCAGCTGGTTGTGTGGCTGTTCTATTCTTTGAACAGCAGAGTGTTTTTTTCTTTTGGCGGTCGATGGGTTATTACTGCATCATTATCAGAAATGATCTTTCATCTTTTCTCGTTTATGATTTGTCACCCCAAACGATGTCTGTGAATACTGACTTCCAGTATTTGCTTGAGTAAATGCAGTTTTGAAGTAATTCCATGGCTAATTATTTTTAGACATTGCATAATTTTGCAGTGTATAGACTAAATCAAATCAAACCATTAGTGAGGTAAATACATAACTGTATGTTACATCATTGGAAGATGCACTTAACTATACCCACTGTTCATATATATATATACATATATATATATATATATATATATATATATATATATATATCACAAAGTAGTAATTACTATTGCAGTTCGCCTTTAACTCGCCAGGTGTAGGTTCATACGCATCTCACCCAGTCCAAGACCAAAAACGATAATTTCAGGAGAAAACGATTCCAAAACAATATTAAACCTTCGAGTTTCCAATTACTACAAGAGGTTCCGTTGCTGGAAAAATAAGTGCTTCCAGTCCGTTACTGCTAGAGTATCAAATCCAAATATGGCTGTAGCCATATTAAATATCAAATTTAAACAACATATGTACAGTTCAGAAGGAAACATAAAAACTTCAATAGAAGTACAAGATATAGAAATAATAACGATATACAGTGATAAAATCTCAAAATGGAATCAAATAGAGTTCCAAAATATCAGACAGAAGAGTCAGCCATATCACAACACAATTATATATACATGGAGGGATTTTCCAAAAACAAAACATTCAAATCTGCGAACAGCATGTTATTAGTAATAGTTTGTTCTCAAATAACAACATTATACGAGACATGCCAATTGACAGGCAAGATCAAAATGTTAAAACTGCTAACATATTTTCTGCAATAGTTTGTTCAGTTACTGAGATATTTCGTAGTTTACATTGGCTTCATTTGGATGGCTAAAATTTTCCACGTTAAATTAGAGACGTTCTAGACTCTGTAATGTTCAATGCGATAACTGGCGCGAGTCACGAACGATACGTTATAACGAGCCACTAATGTCTGAGAACAAATGCAAGGTAAATCCAGTTCTCCATATAACAAGAATTGATGAAGCAAATGTGCGAAGACCTTGTGCACATTCGTTGGATTATAAATTTACAGGTTCCTATGTAAAGTAACCTAGTCTTTGGGCATTATCCAGGCTAATATAAAAGGGGTATGATGAGGTGCTGTAAAAGGAAATAAAGAGGAGGCGAGTAGCAGAATAGAAAACATTTCTATTTAAATCTGAGTCATTACTCATCAGAGACTCTTTCGAATAAATCAATGGATGATTGCTCGGACCTTTCTTATTCTGCAAGATAAATCTATCTGTACACTTGCATTTATTTAGGTTAATGATGGGTAATTAATCGTATGAATAAAGGAAATTCACAAGAACTAAATTGTTGGAAGTAATACTGATTCATAGAATATAATAATGAAGCACAGTGATTTGATACTCTAGTGATATTTTATTGATACATTTTATTTTTAGCGCTGTAGCTCAAGATGTCACGAGTGCCCTTTTTTCTATAATTTTCTAGATTTGCTTGTAATAGGAAGGAAGTGAGTCTTAGACGTGGTTGACGAGAAAAATTAACATCGATATCATTGATTACTTACATTCTGCTATATCGCAAGGAGCCGTAAGGAAACAAAATGTTCTACCCCACTGATATGGATTGATTGAATGAATGCTGGTCAGATAAACCACCCTTCCTCTTTGGTAGTGTAAGAATGTCTTAAGTTTAATGCTAGATTTCAAATAATGTTTTTAAGTCTAAACTCTATATATTGTGCACTCTGTCTACTAGCTCCACATTACAAGCAAACCAGAAAACTTTGGCTTCCATATGTTGGAATAAATATCAATGTAGCATATCATACTGCTATAAAGCAAACTAATGAAATAAACTGCCATATATATGTCGGGTAATAGTCACTTTGGAGGTAGGTAGAATATGCAGCCAAAGAAAGACGGTGTTAAAATTTCATGCGTAGGACTAAAATAGGTACGAAAGGAAGGTGGTTGGGTTGTAATGAACTAGAAAAACAAAAATTTATTAAACTGTTAATATGTGAACAAGAAGGGACTCACAATAATACGGCAAGTTTGAGTTCCTTGTATTGAGCAATAGATGAGCAGCATCTACAGGCTTTTCAGTTTATCTGTTTACTAGAAATAAAAACTAAAAATGCAGTGAAAGATTAGAAGATAATTATGATAATCAGAAAACTCCGAATGATATGAGTAGCACTTCAAGTGCGTGGCCTATTACTGTCCATAGGAGCAGGGAAATTCGTCTGACGTTTCGTGATAATTGTATGGATAGTAAAATGGGTGCAACTCAACCAGTAGAATCTTCGGGGCTACTGCAGGCCTTAAGCCCGGATAAAGGAGGAGGGTTGGACATGGGTTTGGCGACCCCATCCCAAATATAAACTAACTTGCCAAAAAAACACTTGCCAGAAAAAATATATCAAACCATTTTAACTCTGCCCTGGCAGTTGGAAGAACAATTATGACGTCTCGTGATGAAAGCCGAGTTCTCTCGGAAGTCACGAGGTCGATGCCTCTTCTGATAACCAGGGAAACCATTCTTTTAGGTACATGGAATGTTCGAACATTGTGGGAGACTGGAAGATTATTTCAAGTTGCGGTAGAAATGAAAAGATACAACCTCGAGGTTCTTCGAATCAGCGAAGCGAATTGAATAAATTTAGGTCAACTGAGAATAGCTTCAAGGGAACTGCTGTTATACCCTGGTCTTGAACAGGAAAATGCTTCACATACACAAGGTGTCTACTGTAGATGTCCAAACATGCACAAAAGGCACTGATAGGGTGGGAATCTCATGGACTCAGGATCATTAAAGTATCCTTCAAAACAAAGAAACAGGACATTACAATGAACGTCATCCAATGTTATGCACCTACCAATGACAACGATGATGGCGATAAAGATCAATTCTATGAAAGGCTGCAGTCAACCGTCGACAGATGCGCACCAAAGTATTTGAGGAACAAGTAACATCAGACTGGAAAGAAGGATACCTGATCAAAATATCAAGGAAAGGCGGTCTCAGCAAGTGTGAGAACTTCAGAGGCATCACTCTTCTCTCACTATCAAGCAATAGTTCTCTCCGTTCTACTCTACGGATAATAAACAAGGCCGCCAAGAAAAAAGGACTTTCGTAGGTTACTATTATTCGATCACTGGTGACTCTGAAGCATTGCTCGTATATCCTGTCACAACGGAGTCATCAATGCTGTCGTTGGGGAAGGAGCACTAGGTAAGAATTGCAGGTCAGTAGATGAAGTACTGAAACTTCATCAGTTGAGGTGGTTGGGACATGTGTTACGTATGTCTTACCACCGACTGCCTCGTCGAGCTATATTTTGCGGTGTAGGAATAAGTTGGGAGATAGAGGCGGCCAAACCAAAACATGGCAGAAATCCATAAAGTCATTCACAAGTGGACTGAGTCATGTCGGTAGTTGTCGATTACTTGGTTGGCGTCTGCGAGATGTTAGTAATCGATAGTTTGAGACCATGTGACATGGCTCGAAACAGTTTGCAATTGCGCAGGTGCATGCATTCTTTGTTTTCTCTTAAATCCTAAACTTTTCGATTCTCAGTCACTTTATCATTATCTTGTTAAGTCTATTTCAC